AACACTAAGCCTAGACACACAGATCCACCATTTATTTCGTTTTGGGAGAGCAGGGCGTGGAACTCAGACGGGGCATCCTGGATCCGGAATCGATTCCGCCCAGGACGCACTTTCCATCCCTTTGCGCTGTAGGCTTGGCGGCTGTGAAAGAAGGTCTACCGGAGCAGACCCGGGAAACAGGGTGAAGTCAAGTATGATCCAGATTGCAGGTTCGAAGGTCGATCAAGATTGTGTCAGTCCTCCCGCTGATTTCACGGTCTTATCATGTAGTGCCATGTTTGTTAGTGCTGCGGTGGCTCATACAGAGGAGTTTCAATTTCCACACCACAATATGGTTTGTTTCACTCATTGCTACGGTTTACAAAATTAATACCTTCCCCGAAGCTTGATTCTGATTCTTCTGAATTGCTTGTAATTTGTACCTGCGATTGGTGTTTGCCTGCGCCAATCTGTGTGGGCCTGAATTCCAACCGCATAACACGGTAATCAAAAGGCGACGTCAAGAATGTCTCTGCGAAGATAGCTTAGACAGCATACCCAGACCTTTTTTCTACTTTCAAACAGGGGGTACATGGTCCCAACGCATGAGTATGTAAGGTCTAGGTGCAGACTTAACAACCTAAACCATATCAGATTAAACCTTAAGTGCACAAGTTTCAACAAGTCGGGATGTGAGGGCCCATTATTTTCTGGGAGTCCCGGGTGGAGTCTAGTCCCGGGTTTGGGGGAGTAGTGTTACATGTAAGAGCATTTCCCAGTATAACACTATATACGGTCTTTCGTATTCATCAGTTCATTCATTTTGATTGGTTTGTGTCTTCGTTTGTTTGTTTATTCACTATTCATCTGTTTGTTGTCGATGGTTCTTCTTTTAACTTCTGCTATCATTATTGGTATTTCAGTATTAATATCCGTATCGTTCCAGTTATTACTGTTTTTGTTGTTGCTGTTGTTTTCCAGTTACTGTTGTTGTTGCTGCTGCCGTTGGTGTCGTTGTTGTTATTATTATCATTAGGGTTTCGTTATTGTTGTTGTTACCCATTGTGTTCGTTTCGGTGAGGGAGTTGCGTGCAATTCGTAAGTTATTATATACTATATGGTGTTTTATGTAACCTTATCATCCAATGGATTATGTTATCGTATATTCTCCTACTTTGTCTTATCTTATCTTATCTTATCTTATTTTATTTGATCTTATCTGATGCTAGCCTATCTTTTCTTGTCTTGTCTTATGTTGTCCCTGTTATCCCATTTGATCTTATCTTGGCTCATTTTATCTGATCTTATTCTTGTCTTATCTTATATTGTACTATGCTATGTTGATGTATGTGTCATATACTCGTCTGGCAAGGCATCCGAACGCCCAAGTCCAGGTTTTAGCCGTCGATCCTGAAACCTAAGCCTTCAACTTTGTTCTGGGACGTGGGAGAGCAGAGCAGACAAGGCCCGATAATAACGACAATATACAAGTCCTTACTCAGATGTCTCGGGTCTGTTTGAATGGAGCCGTTCCGGTTTTGCACCATGCAGGCCAGGTGCCGGGGAGAGGCTTTGACGTCTGCTTGCAATTTAAGCAGGGTTTATGGGGTTTCATGGAGGTCGAGGGATTTGGAGTTTCTGGGGCTGCGCATTACAGGCACAGGTGTGTCATGCGAGGTCACGTGCACGCGCAGGTGCAGACAAGTACTCGAAGCGATACCTCTGGGCAGGGTCCAACGAACCTGATGGTTGGGTACTCCGGTTGAGGATACGAGTCGTTCAGCTTCGTCCTTGGTGTCTGCGAATATGGTCATAGTCCCTAAGGGTCCATGTACCCAAATAGTATATACATTCGCCTTAATGTAGTCCCTATATAGGTACTTTAGGGCCCATGTATATGCTATATGAATACATGGACCCGTAGGGAGTGTATTTCGATCTTGGACCTGTATGAGATTTTCTAAAACGTGTGGATTGCGGAGGCCTCACGCTGGAGGTCACCACGGCTGTAGTGTCTAAGGCTCAGGATGTAGTGTTTAGGGTTTAGGATGTAGGATTCAGGGTTCATGATGCAGGGCTTAGGGTTTACGCCATAGGTTTTGTTCTGTTTTTTGTTTCCTATATTCCCTCCTCTAATCCTGCGGGCTTCAGGGTGTGGTTCACTTCGGAGTGCAGATTGAGGTTCAGCGTTTAGGGTCGAGGGATTTGGATGCAAGCATTCTAGTTCGTAGGTCTTGGGAACCCAAAGTTCAAGTGATGTATGTACGTACGTACGTGCGTAGGTATGTATGTATGTATGTATGTATGTATGTATGTATGTATGTATGTATGTATGTAGATATGCATATATATGTATATGAACATATTTCGCGTAGTTTTTTATACAGAAGTCGAATAGCTGCTAACAGTATCCCCTTGTGGTCTCTCTATATAAGTCAACCAGCACGGTGTTTAACGAAAGAGGCCCCTACATGGGGCTTTCAGGTGCCACGCTTGCAGATGTGGAGCCAGTATAGCAGAAGGCGGTGAAGTTTTTTCAGTGCCTGTCTGACTGCCGCGAGCAGAGACGCGAACATCTTCGGCTCTCAGTTGAAAGATCTTCACAACTGTTGTCGTATGTACGGGTGCATACAGCATGTATGAGCCTGTGCTGTGTATGTATATATATATACAGACATACATACACATGTATCGCCGTCCCACCGAGTATTAAAATTGGCCAGTCCAAGCAGAAACGAGCGCAGCGGGAATCGGTGACGGTTGTGTGATGCAGTGGATGCGCTGTTGGGTCCTTGCTCCTCAGTGAAATGATAAGCCATGAAACCCGAACACTTCAACCCTGCGCTCAATGCAACAGATTGTTTGTCGCAATGCCTTGTCTAGACAAGGTCTGGAAATCATAGGGTTGTGGAAACCCAACAAACCGAGACCCCATGTTGAAGTAGACTGGCTGCAGCTGACGATCTCCGGATCAAGGCAGGCTGCCTGCAAGTCTTATGCCCTTCCGCTGGATGCAGATTGGCTGGGGGCAACGGGCAAGCAGCCGTTGCGTCCTGTCGGAGTTGGTGACTTCTCTCGGTCGTAGGAGTTGTGTGTTCAGCGCAGGACCGTCATCGTTACCTTCATCGTCAACACTATCACATCCACAGTCTTAGTCTTCTTGGTCTTTTCATGGTCGTTGTCATCATCATCATCATCATCATCATCATGAGCATCAATCAGGGCTGCTGTGCACATACTCAGCATGGTGCCACAAGTCCCCACACACAGACAGTCGCTCACTCGCTCACTCAGTCACTCGCTCACTCTGTTAAATGACACGAGCCCAATGTACCCCGAATGAACATGATGCACTTATGAATGCTACGATGCCGAACGGCATTGGCTCAAGGCTGGACACATCGGCTACACACACACACACACACACGCCCAGCTTGTCGATCTGCGGTCAAAGCACCTCAAACGCGAGCCCGATTGGGTTTGGGGCTTGTGTCAGTGTTTAGTGAGAGTTTACCAAGTTCCTTCGCCCAAGACTTGAGACATGAACTCCGGACCACAGGACCTAGTAATCTCCGTGCAGGGCCTCACTGTGGACTGCTTAGTGTAAAGACTTGGGGTTTTGTAATCAGGCTATGGCCCCGACTTGTTCCCAGCTGTTCTGCAAATGCGTTGATGGACCCCGACATCTACCGCCGAATCTAGGAGCTTGATGTGTCGGGGCATGCCCTGCCTTTTGTGATTCTTGGTGATTGACGTTTGGGTCTGTCACGCCAGATTCCGGAAATGCAAGAAGTGAGTGCCAGGGGGCCCTTGTTCTGTTTCCGCAGGACATCCGTGCTGGGAATGTGTTGTTGATCTTGCTGGCAGATACAGGAAGCCCTGAAGCCTAAACCTTGACATCTGTTTGTGTTGAAGGCGGCAATTTACACCCTTCCTCTTCGATGATGAAGTTGACGTTCCTGAAAGTTCCGAGATGCCTTCTTGTGGTTCCTTGTTAATTGCGAAGCTTTTATTGGGTCTTGAATTTTCGAAACCCCGTGTAGACGAAGGTCGCGGTAGAAGATATGAGCAAGCTGAAGCCATACACGGTTTGTTTGAGATGTGGGAGTTTCAGGAAATAGGGACGCTGGAAGCTGGGTTTGAACCCCAACTAGTACGATCCTCATTCTACGTACTTCTAAATGAGGTACCGCTCAGAAGCAGGAAGCGCCCACGACGGTTAAGCGTTTAGGGTCTAGGATTTAGGGTCTAAGTCTTAAGTTTTATTACTACATATCGAGGTCAATAAGGGTCCCTCGTCCTTCGAGCGAAAGTTGCGCCCATTGGATTCGAGGGATGACAGGGGTCTCCGTGGTCCTCGGCGGCTCAATGCAATCCGATTCCCTGGCGGAGGAGTTAAACAGTGCGAACAGCAGGGCTCACGGGTTGGCGTTTGCCTTGGATCGTGTCGAAGATCACGGCTGTGAACCATGAACCGGCAAGCTTACTTCTTATCCTGCCCTCTGATTGAAAGACTTTCAGCTTGCGAGGCTAAGCAAATCTAGGCATAGCTAATGATGTCACAACGGGCTGTATGAAAGTCAAATCAAACAGCCCCTGAGTCAGGCTGATGGCACGAGCTGTTTGAAAATCAAGCCTGCGAGATCGCAAATATCGCACATGAAGCACAGGGTCTGTCTGCACTCCAAAGCCGCGCCTCTGATCATAATTTCACATTATTAACAAATCCAATTCCTCCGGGCTCCTGATGATAGATATAGAGGTTAATATGACGCTGGTGGAAACGACCGACACAAACTCTAATATGCCAAGAATTAGCATGAACGAAACCGCGAATCCCCAAACCCTAAACCAAAAAGCGACCCATACCTCTAAACCCTTAATCCACGGAAACAAACACCTAAACCCGAAACCTCTAAGCCTGAAAACCATCTGAAACTCCTAAACCCACACCCCCTGACCCATATAAACCCTAACCCCAAACCCCAAAACCCCAACCCTGAAACCCGAGCCCGGCACAGGATCCACCACGGTGTGGCCATGGCAGAATCTTCCAGGCAGAATGTCAGCTTCGGGCACTTTATAGGGGGCTATACTAAATGGGTAGTTGTCAAAATTATGGTCCCTTTGGGGGTACCCTAAATAATAGGTGCCGTATTATAATAAGGACCCAAAAATAGGGACCCTCATTTTGACAACCACCCAAATGGGAGTT